TAGCTTTGGTAATTTTTATTTAACATTTTTCTGCTATAATGAACTCAAGACTAAAAGATAATGTCTCTGCCATCATGCGCTGTGTTATGAAATGTATGCTTCCCTAATCTGAAATTAAAGCTGAAGGTACAAGCTTCTGGACATAAAATGCTGAAGGGAGACGTTGACTTGGACTTCCAAAGTGGACTTGGTGAGAAACATCCAAACAGCAGGCAGGGAAATGAAGATTCAGTAATCTACAGCACAGTTCAGTTCACTTTTGTCTCTGCTTTTCAAGGCTTCAAAGCTGACTTTGATTGACTCTGATATCATTTATATTTCATAAAAACAGAAATGTCAAATGGACTGCAGTTATACAGTGGTTTTACATTTTTTTTCTACTAGTCAAAACACTACAAGGTGCATTTATCCATTCACACACGCAAATACACATGTGATGCTTTGTGAGCAATGCACAGGTTTGATATCTTGCACAAAGGCAGGTAAAGCTTTAAGGCTGAAAATGAGCTAAAAGCAAAGTGACAAAAGCTGCAGTTCCCAGAGTGGCCACTTGAGGCTGCTTCCAAACAGGAGTAAACAGTATATATGGTATAGTACAGGGGTCAGCAACCTTTCACATCCAAAGAGACATTTGGACCTGGTTTCCACGCAAACGAAAACACTGGCAGCTGCAAATACATTTTGACATCTAAAATGAAGATAACACTGTATATATTGTTTTTTACCTTTATCCTTTGTGTGAACAACTAAGGTGTGTTGCTTATGAAATCCATGAAGTGCTACAGAGAAAATTACATTTTATTTATGTAATTAACACATTTTGAACTCTTAAAGAAATATAACAAAAGGAAAGACGCTGAACTAAAATGATCCATGTAGCAAACAAAAACTGTTGTGAGTCACCACCCTTATATCTCCTTTGAGCTTTTGGAGCCTTGACCTGACTTTTAAAAAATAATTGGAAAAAAAGCACTATGCTGCTGAAAAATGAAAAATAGATATTTACAAAATTCTGCCTAAATATGCTCCTGAACCTCTGCGCACAGCGTCTACAAATCGGGGCTGTACGAAGTCACTTTCATCTTTACGCAGGACTGTAAGCTGTCATCTGTGAGGCGTGAGCGGTGTTTGTTTTTAACATAGTTCACATTGGAGAACAGCTGCTGACATAATGTGGATCCGAAGGTCCATAATTGGCCTGCCTGGGGTTGAAAGTCTTGATAAATGCACGGCGTTTCAGCGGGTACACCGGCTTCCGCGAGTGTGACGCTTATTTTGAGCAATGAAAAAATAAAAGAATATAATTGTATTTTTATATTTCAAAATCACAATCATCTTCCAATTTAGAACTACAAGTTAAAAAAGAACTAACATAAATAAAATACACTTCAGCTAAATACTTCCCAAACCACATGGAGCCGCACTGTAAGGACTAAAGAGCCGCATGCGGCTCCGGAGCCGCATGTTGCCGACGCCTGGTATAGTATATACCACAGGCTCAGCTTGTGGAATTAAACAGCATTAAAAAGCAGGTTTACAACCTACTACAAAGACCTGGTTTGGATTAAAAACAAACAAACAAACAAACAAAAAAACAACAAATTCCTCCATCTGGATGCTGTTGAGACTTAAAGGTAGGAGTGTGGCTGCTTGGACTGACAAGTGTTCTGACAGCTGTAGCTGATAGCGGTCTGCTAGGCCTCATCTCTGCTGAAATCACTGAATTGGACCTCTGAGCTGTGTTTGTACTTCAGTTTTGTTCAGTGAGGTTCCAGTGTTTTATACGTCTGTTACACATCACTCGTTATCACATATTTGCGTCTATTGCATTGTAGTGCAGTTTATGAATGGATGAATGTCGCTTGCTAACCAACGTTGCTAGCATTAGCTAACAGCTCAGCACTTTACCCATTAAACCAAATATGACCACTTCTGACTTCCTAAAAAGTCACACTAGTGGTGTCCAGAACGCTGACGTTGAGGGTTCAAAACACAACTCATTTTACTTCCAGTCTTTCTAGTACTCACTACCCTTACACAGAGTTTGTAGGACTGTTAACTCTCTGTGGCCCATATGGTGGTGCTCGAGGTGACGATAGACATATCGTGTATAATGGAGAGACACACAGGGATGTGACAAAGCTGCGGTATGTGTCACATCAGGATGAGGTATAGATAGAGATGAGATATGATATGGCCACTATTGGAAGATAGCTTCATTGTCCTCGAGCTGTAAGTCCTGTGGACTAAATCATCAAATATTGTCTGTCAGGTGGTTTTTAGTTACTGCATGAGGTATGATGTTCACTTAATTTAATTACTGTTGTGTGCTATGAATTCTGTACACCTTAACTTAAAAATCAAAACGTACACAATGTTAAAGCTGGACTTTGTAGCATATCAGTGTGTTTGTGTGTGTGTGCAAACTCAAGCAAAGGATTTGGAGTCGGTGTGCATGATTGGCACACAATGCAGATGTGTGGGCAGCAGATGCCATCTGGAGAAAGCGGAGTTTGCTGGTGGAGGGAAGAAAGAGGGGTGGTGGTGGTAGTGTGTGTGTGTGTGGGGGGGAGTTACCCCCCCTTCACCACCACCACCACCCACCCTCCCTCCACTCCAGAAAAGAAAAGCCACCAGTCTGACAGGAGCATAAAGGAAACGATGGGAGTGTAATCAATCAAAAACACAGCCGCTCAAATAAAGGGAGACAAGAGACACCACCCGCCCACTAGCAGCCTGTCCCGACCACCACTGCTGCCCCTCGTCGTTGCTTCAAACCTTTGCCACCGTTGGTCTACGAAGATCAAAAGCACCACTCCAGTCACCGATCAGGCTCCACATCTGACTGACGAACAAGAGGCATAATCTATATTTTGGGTTGTTTGACCAATTTCAGTGGACACCAGTGCATCATTACACTGGACAAACTAGGGAGACCATAAAGCCACAATGAGACAGAGTGTCCAGGGCCAACGAGAACAACATACACTCATCTCTCCATCTTTTTCTTAAATCAGCCTAATTTTTTGCAATCCAAGATCAGGACTCAAGAGCTGCCCATTCAGAGTATGTGAGACACAAAAACACTCTATATATCTTTCTTTTTTTTATTGGCATCTATGAGGGGAAAACAAAGCCACAGTATGTCTGTTGAATCACTCAAGACAAAGGCAAGTCTATTTGCCATGAGATCACCACTGTGAGGGAACTCCTGGATGTTTCCTTGTATGGGCACATATAAACATATCATAGCCACGGTTTGGAAGCTTCAGTTTGGTGTGACAGCTACAAAAGCACACAAGAGCTGGTGCGCTTGGCAATATATCCACACAGACACATTCATATATGTATGAAAGGAGAAAAAACTACCAACCAGAAAAAAAGGCGTTCACACACCTGCTGAGAGTGAGGAAAGTTTCTAATGGCTCTCGCCCTTGCTGGCTCGCCTTTGCAACCTGGGCTGTGAATGAAGCAGTCTAAATCCAAATTGCGTCCAGGTGCATTTTGGATTTTTAAAACAGCAGTTTGCACACAGCGTTGGAATACTTTTCTGCGTGAAAACTTCTGTTTTGACTTTCCAACCCCCAGAAAGAACAGGCAGCCATACAGCTGATATGGATACAATGACAAGCCCAAGGACAATGAAGGCAGAGGGCATGTTTCACAGCTGAATCACTGCCTTCGTAATCTGTGGAAAGGCCACATTTCACTCCAAAGGAGACACAACATTTCAAAGGGTGCCGGTCATGGTTTGCGGAAGCCTGGCTGCAGTCACCGGCCGCAGTGTGTGGTGATGCAGAAAGCCCTAATCTGCCCACACAGTGACAGTCTCCTCTGCAGATCATTGAGAGGCCGCCTGTCAGCCACAGCAATGGGCGCATCTCACGGGAGCAGTAGAAAGACCTGTGTAGGAGGACAAAGATGAGTGAGAGCACCCTGGGCAAAATCTTAAACGTGGACACAGCTGGCTTTTCTCAGTTGTGAACAATGCCGCCTTTGTTTGAAGAAAAACTGCAGGGGTAACAACCATTTGCTTTTTGCTTTTTTGCAGCAGCAGCAGGAGCTCAACAGACAACCAGGTCTGCCTCTCTCACGCTGCACTGTGCCTATAGGTTTCATCGTAAATACCCATAAAGCCCTGATAATATCAGAATAACAGCAAGTGACAATAATCCAATACAAGCTCGCCACCCAACATGCTGAAACGCGCATTGTCAATTTCACAAAGTGCAATTCTGTGTAATGTTAGGGGAGGTCATGCTCATACTTGTTCTTTAATCCAATTTTTACCCCCTTTTATTCTTTTGGAGAACAGGCGTCGAGTTGTCCGCTAGGTGGCGACCTTGGTCCGGTGTGGCTCGCTCACCTCGGACTTGCCTGGAGCCGAACTACAAGCAGGATCAGCACAGTGAGAGTGCTGCGAGCGCGCAGGACTGAGACTGACGCAGTGCATTTCACTCCCATACTGGAGAGTTCAGGAGCGCTTTCTGCAGTTAGTTAAGGTGTTGCTTTTTCTAAACCCCAAACACACACACCAGGCAGATTGTATCTTGTAGCTCATAGTCAGTGTGAGTTGGACAAATGTGCGCTATGATTCCCAGTCTCATGCGTCTGAACTGTAGTGACCACTGTTTGGTGTGTGCAGAGGTGTGTGCCTATTTGTGTGAGTGTGTGTGTGTTGGGGGGTAGTTAATGATTATTTGCCCCCCTCTCTTCTCTCCCCACCCCCAGTTCTTCTCGTTTCCTATATGGATTGACGGAGTCCGCGTCAGAGCGCACGGAGTGGACCCGCCTCCTGGCTGTGGAGCGCTCGGTGCGTTTCTCTTCCCCCTCTGTCCGCTTCAGACCCATATTCCACTGGGAGAGAGAGAGGAGAGAGAGCGAGGGAGGGAGTGAGAGTGTGTGTGAGAGAGTGAGAGAGAGAGAGAGAGACAGCAGGACCTGGGAGAAGAGCACCGAAAGAAAAAGAGGAGAGGGGAAAAAACGCAGCACCGACACAAATGGCACTCATGGCAGGGATTTTGTTCACGGCCACTTTTCTTATTTCTGGGATTTCTGCATCTCTTTCTTCGTCACGGATATATCCCCCAAATGAAGGTAAGGTCGCTGGGAGGAAAATGAACTGCGGCGGGACTTCATCCCCGCTCCCCCGCGTCTGTGCGGCTTTTGCGCCGCGGAGGCTCACTTCGCTGAGCCCCAGTAGTTGCGAGTGCGTGGAGCCGCGACGAGTTGGGTCACCTTTACGCACTCAGCGGCTTCGGCGGAGCTTTTAAACCACCTATGAGAAGTGCCTGACCGAGCGCGCATCCGTTGTTTTGGAGTCGGACTTGGATCGTGCCAGCTGCCAAAGCCTGGGAGTACTGATACTTTTGCCCCCTCTCCCCTCCAGCAATACGTGCTGTTTTCTGTAGGACAGTGAAGGAGACATTTGCTCCCCCGCCCCCCAAAATATAAATAAAAATAAATACAACTTAAAAAAGCACTTCACACAAACGTGTGTCGAAAAAGAGAAACGAAATGAATATACGAGTCAGTTTGGAGACTCGCAAACCACACATCCGACTGACAAAGCAGCTCTTAATCCATCATTTTCAGAAGCATCCGCAGCGATGTCTCCTGCTGTCACTTCGTCGTTTAGGGGAAAAAATCCGAATAAATTCTAAAAGTTTAGCTTTCCTGCCTGGCGCATTACATTGACGCCGACACAACAAAATATTTGTCGTCGATTCATTCAAGATTTTTTGCCAACGATGTGTCAGATACACGTTTACTTAAAAAGGATCAAGTGTTAAAATGAGAACTATCTAAATGAAGTGTGGTGTATCTCATCCAAAACGGAGGTTTTCGGGGCTGCAGTCGCCTGCTCGGGTCCCGGAGCGCAGCGTGTTAGGTCCGCTACAGATGAGGCTCTAGCCCACTTTCTACTGTAAACACTAATAAAATCAATACTTTATTTTATTAAAGACGAGCCCATTAGTTGCACGTCTGTTTTCTGATGGGCTCTTTGGTGTGCGTCTGTTCTGCTCGGCACAGCAAAGCTGTCCGACACAACAAGTCCACAGTTAAAAACCCCGAGCGCCGTTTAGTTGGGACTCAAAAGATTCAAATTTAAAATGAGTCTTCAGTGTGCACGATCATGTATTTCATGTGCTTACGTGCTCGGTTTTTTTATTTAATTATTTATTTATTTACAACACATGCAGCTGATTAAGCTTTTTTCCTTTCAGTGGGAATTTAAAAGAAAATTTAAAGGTCCGCAAATATAAAATAAATATGATCCCTTTTTAAATTATAGATATATGCGTGAATTTTTTCTTATGCGTGATGTTCGGTTTTCTGTCTGTCACTGTGTTTTTCCCCTTTTATAAACTGCTTTTTCTTTTTTCTTTTTCTTTTAAGTTTACGCACGAGGATTCAGTCAAACGCGTAAAGCCGACGGTGAGCAACCGATAAAATCACGATGTGAAAGGCTCCGGGGGAAACGCGTTTGTCGTTGATAGAAGATCCCTTTGCTTAACGAAAATCAATCAAACCACATCCCTTAGGCACAGCAAGGAATTACGCAGAACAAAGCCTTCACATGTACATCTTTGTAACACTTGCTGGCCCACAGTTTTTACTCCTGAATCATCATCATGAGAAGATTTCCTCAACTACATAAATCGCTTTAAAGCTTTGTGTGTGTGTTTGCTTTAATCATTAAAAAAAAAAAAAGGAAGCCATTTTTCTTCCTCAGAGTGTAAGGCCTAATTGGATTATATGCCAGTGCTGATGTTGTGTGGACTGTCTGAGACTGCATGCTCACTTCTCTCATTCTTGTTTTCCAGTCACGTTATTGGACTCCAGAGCTGTACAGGGGGAGCTGGGATGGGTCTCCAACCCGACAGAAGGAGGGGTAAGTGCTGCAAAGAAGTGTCCCCTTGTTAGGACGCATGGTCCCCTATTGGGAAAAAATAGAGAGATGATATCCATTGTTGGCAGGAGCTGTAGAGTGATCCGCCAAATAGATACACAGCCCCCTTTGATAAGATTCTGTCCTGGAGAGCATTTTATGGGAATATCTTTGTTGTTGTACTATGTGTGTGTGTGTGTTTGTGTTTGTGTGTGTGTGCATCTGGGCTCAGGATTAGATCATTTCACAAAAAAATGAATAAATTCATTTTTTATCTTATATAGAGGCCACCTGTAACCCACCTCGAGACCCACATCGGGTTCAGGAAGCTGCTTTGAGAACCATGGGGTGTGTAAGCACCCCAGTAACCTCACAAGCCCTGTTCCTCTTTCTCCTCTGCTCCCCTCCTCTCCAACCACTCTGTAATGGTCAGATGCGGGGACCGATACTCCAGCGGGCGTCGGGTTTCCTGAATAGACCGTGGATTGAATCGGCCTTTGTGGAGAAACTTTATATCCCTTTCCACCATTGAGTCGAAGCGAAAGCGAGAGGGAGAGGGAGAGGAACTTGGCAGCTGAGAGAGGGTCCTCTGGAATGGATGAATGAGGGGGGGAAAGTGCAGTGGGGTTCAGCTCTTGCCTGCAGTATGACCAGCTACAAAGCAACGGGGAATAGGATCGACAAAATGTGTGATCTCTGGTGGTTCTAATTGGGCTACAGTGGCTCTGGTACGAGAAAGAACAGGGGCCGCAGAGAGCCCCACGATGGCCACAAGTGTTAGATTTTAGTTAAACGTAAGGCACATGCAATGCCTTAACCTAGCCTAAACGTGACTGTATAGAAACAGGTAAATATGTATTCAGATGCATGCTGGGGACTAACCCTCACCCTAACTAGCCTTTCATAAATAAAAAAAAGTAGGTTTTGATGTTTTAGATAAAATATTCATTTTTTGTCCTCTGATTGTCCAAACCTGGGGGGAAAAACTATTTTCAAAGGGCAATAAATGAATAAATTTTAAAATCACAAATCGTCAAAGCTTAGAGGTCAGGGTCACTCAAACGACAGAAGGTTAGTGATCGTCAGCCAGAAGTCATTTCTTCCAGTTGTCCTGCTTGCACAAATGTGATGAAAACCACAATTAAGCCTTTTAATGTTTTATGAAAATGAATACAAATTAGCAACCGCCATGTCAGCTAATGAATATGAACCCAGGGGAGCAGGATCTCATCTTGTGCATCTGTTGCGAGCTCTGTTGTCGGCCTCTCTAAATGAACTTGATCGGTGCTGCGCTCCGGTCCTCCCCTCAGCCATTTTATCACAAACGAGTGATTGACAGGGTCCCGGCAGCCGCGCAAAGCCTGCATTCACCCTCTCATTATGACCAATTGGCCTTATTCTCCCTCTTTCTTGCTATCGGCGGGGGGAAAGGTGCAGCGTTATCTCAGCGGTGCTTGATTTCCACAACAAAAGGGGGGCTGAAGCCAGAGAGCAGGAGGGAAATGATAGACATTTTTCTAAATCCTACAGCCACAGCTATGTTTAGCATTATCGTACCACTCTGCTTTGGGGAAATAAGGCTTAAATCCAGATTGTTTATGATAAGGCGTCAAGTAAAATCTGGCAGCCTGACTCACATGTTTCACTTTGACTGTTATATTTTTTTTCTTTTTTGTGCAGTTTTCTAAATGGCTGAAACGACAGCGGCCAAAAGCTTGTCTGCTCTTGTTTACAGCCCAGCTCAGTCAAAGGCTCTATTTAAAACACACGGTAAAAAAAAAAATCAGAGGCAGCGGGCCGCTCCGAGGCTCTCGAGAAATACTTGCGTTTCCTCAACGGTGCCGTGTAGAGAGAGAAACTTTATTACGAGTTGAACAAACATTCTCCCTGGGTAAAAAATAAGCCAGACCACACCGGGTAATCTGTGCACCCCCCGCGCAAGCTCATACTGACATCAGTGCCAATCATGTATGCAGATATAGAGCAGGCGCACATTAGATCATTAGCAATCTTCTAATGCCTAGGTGTGTGTTTGTGTGTGTGAGACGAAGATTTTGTGTACAGCTCACCAAGTAATTGAACTGTAGGCATTGCTGAGCCAGAGACCTAATCACATATTTCCTTCATAGTGGAGAAGAAGCAATAAATATTAATATCTTTGCACAACTCTATTAGGTGTCATTCATAAAATATGCATTAATTTAAGCCATCGATGAACTGCTCTGCTTGGCTAAACTAACAAAATGCTCTTTCGCGCTGTATTGCTTGGCGCAAACTGGCACCGTGTAATATGTACTTGGTGCTTAATTGGTTACATATTACACATTGGCTTTTATGTCTGGCATTTTCTAGATGTTCTTAATGTTGAACAAATTTTCTTTACAGGTTCCTTTTAGCTGCTGTTTGGAAAATACCATTTTCACAAGCAGATTTAAAGTTTAAACTCTCGACATCCACCCAGTCATCAGGGAACCACTTAGGGTTAGGCTGCTGAACAAGCACAGTTTAAACTGGAACATATAACTTTTCCAATTAGCTCTTCTGTGCATTTGGTCCTCTGTTGAACACTTTTATTTTGGGAAAGTTACTTACAGGAAAATTCCATATAAAGGGGTAGATTTGAAACTAACCCTAAACCAGTCACTGGTGACCTGGTGGAGATGAATAAAGTTTAAGAATTTCCCTCTGGGATTAATAAAGTCTCTCTGATTCAAATTTTAACATTTTATTATTTGTTTCCTTTCCCCAGTGGGAGGAAGTGAGTATTATGGATGAAAAGAACATCCCCATTCGGACGTACCAGGTGTGCAATGTCATGGAACCCAATCAAAACAACTGGCTCCGCACTGACTGGATCCCCAGAGGAGGTGCCCAGCGAGTCTACATTGAGATTAAGTTCACTCTCCGAGACTGCAATAGTCTCCCGGGTGTCATGGGAACCTGCAAGGAAACCTTCAACCTTTACTACTATGAGTCCAACAACGACAAAGAGCGCTACATCCGAGAGAACCAGTTCGGCAAGATTGATACCATCGCCGCAGATGAGAGCTTCACTCAGGTGGACATTGGCGATCGTATCATGAAGTTGAATACAGAAGTCCGGGATGTGGGAGCCCTGACCCGCAAGGGTTTCTATTTGGCTTTCCAGGATGTTGGGGCGTGCATTGCACTTGTTTCTGTCAGGGTCTTCTATAAGAAATGTCCTTTAGCCGTGCGTAATTTGGCCCAGTTTCCAGATACTATCACTGGAGCTGATACTTCTTCGCTTGTGGAAGTTCGTGGTTCATGCGTGGATAACTCAGAGGAGAAGGAGGTGCCCAAGATGTACTGCGGGGCAGACGGCGAGTGGTTGGTGCCCATTGGGAACTGTCTGTGCAACCCTGGATACGAGGAGCGCAATTCAGAATGTCAAGGTAAGGAACTGAAATTTGTCTATGGCATTTTTTTGGCTCCTTTCTCGATTTATAGACCGCCGTCTGTCCCCCCTCTCCTCCAGTCCGTCCCACTCTTACAATATCCTGTCTCTGTCTCTTTGTCTTTATCTCTTGTGTTTTGTTCTCTTTGTTCTTCCCTCTCCGTTGGATGTTTTTATCTCCTTGCTCCCTAGCTCTCTACAGCCTTCTCTCCAGTGTTTAGTTGGGCGATAGAAGCGGAGATGACTGTAAATGGAGTAATTAGTGGGCCCACTGGGAGGTGTTGTGCAGTGGGATGCATCCCAGGAGAATTGGTGACACGGAGAGAGGAGACTAGTGCTCCAACTGGTTTGGACTAACGCTGTGTCTTTCACCCCCCCCTAACTGTTCTTTCTCTTATTCCCAATAGAGCCCCAAGCTGTGGAAAAGAGATAGACAGCTTTAGAGGAAGAGAAGGAGAGAGAGAAAAGGGTTTATAATTCCAAGCAGGTATGAGAGGAGTAAAAATACACAGCTGGGAGATGGGGCTGAAATAGTTCTATTTGGTAGGAGAGGAATAGCCCTTTGTGGACAATTATTCTACTCTTGGCTTGCCGTGATCCTATACCAGGCAGTTTGATGAGGTTTTAAGGTCAGCGCAGAGTGCTTCCCCCTTCAGACTTTTTAAAATCACAATCATGATAGAGCTTGAAGCCTGTTGGTGAATTTAAAATGATCCTAGGAATGCCAATCAAAAACCCACCAATGGATCATTTCAAATTTCTGTCAGTTTCCAAGCTCTTCATAAATGGCATTTTTGATTGCCTCTGACCCACTTTAACTCCCTTGTTTCATTGACCCAGTGGTCTGTGGCTTATGGTATACAGTACTGTGATGTTAATAACATCTAGTAGGATTCAGCAGCTGTTTTGTTGATCAGTCTTTTGCCAAGCTGGGGGCACACTTGTAAGCTGGCCAGATGAGCGGATGCCAGTTCTGCCATGAAAGTTTATTGGTAAACCCCGGTCGTCACCACCCACCAACATCACACAGAAAGCAGTGGGCCGCAGCAGTGAGGGGTCAGAGGCTGGGCACGGGTGATTAACAGGGGGACGGACTACTACACCTCTCCTAATTTACGAGGCAGCCTTTATCTCGGAGGACTAATTGCATGACAAACAGGTCTGGTGATTTAGGGCTACCACTGGCTGCTCGGGGGTGGGGGAAAGGCAAAGGGGTTCAAGTAGTCACAGATGGAGGTTTGTGTGTATAGTTCAGAGTTTATTTGTTGAGCGCACTGTATGACCAGTAAGAATTCTCCTGGAGTGTTGCCACCTCCTCGGGGTTCAGATGGCTCCAGCCAGGTTTCTATATCCAGAGTCCGTTTTAGAGAAGCAGAGAGAGAGAAATCTGCAATCAGTTTACCACAACAACCTCTTATGACTCAGTATGAGGACCCTGATCTCATATTGTATACCATAACTTCCATTGTTGCATCATTGGAAATGACTTCTTATCTCTTCCCTTTAATTCTCGTTGAGATAAATAGCTGTTATAGTCATCATAGAAGGCAATAAAGGACTTGGAAGCTTTGATTTTATGTGACTAATGCAGTATTGTAGTGTTTGCCAGCTTGGCACCAGCACTGTTGCTCAAGCCAATATATCCATTTAGTCCCCATATCACTGCATCTGCTTGAGCTTGTTTAAGTTTACAGTGCCAGTACGCCCACTCTATTCACTTTTAGCTACAGTTCTACTCTCTTTCTAAATTTCACTTTCAGCTGGATAACATGTGTTGGCTTTATTTTGATTGTGGGTCAGGGACTTGTGGGTTAAAAGGTGCTGGTCCTCAAGTGCACAGATGAGCTGGTTAATATTTCCCCATGTGACAGGCTCTGGGGGAGGGAGGGCCTCTGCTTTTTTATGCCCGTGTTGACAAACAGACTTACGCAGAGGTTTGGGGTTTCTTTGTAGTGAGGGTGAAATTAAAGGAAACATGAGTTTACGTGTGATTTTTGTGTATGAGAGTGTCAGCCTATGAGGTGGTTTGATAAAGTTCAAACTGTTTTTGTTTAAAAGGTTTTCTTTGGTGCAGTTGTGTGAGTGGTGTGTGTGTGTGTGTGCTTGTCCTGTGTACGTGCAGGGTTACAAGGGCACCCTGGCCCCTGGTTCCCAGCCCAGGATGAATGGGCTCCCCTCCATCATTGTTTGGGGCAGCAGCGGAGCCGTCTGAGACTGGTGATGTTTGAGGGGGAGAAGGATTTAGAGGGGGAGCTGACAGGGGATGTAGGACTTGTATTCTCTACCCCTGGCAGAGGTCAGGGGTCATCCCCTTCCGCATCCATCTTACTGCAGTGTATGACAGGGTTGGGGATCCAGGATTGATTAAGATGTCAGGGTTTTGACAGCTGTGGTAGGGGGAGTGTGTATGGGTGTCTGTGCCCTAGGTGGACCTAGGGTGACTAGGGTGTATAGCCAGGGCCAAGGCAAGAGGGACAACCGGGGCACTGTGGGCCAAGGGGCCCCCTGATCTAAGGAGAGGGGACTGTCTGTTTGTGTTTGGGATCTCGTTCCCTGTTAACCACCTCGCCTACTCTGTGGGGAGGGCGCGGGGGTCAGCTTGTTGTCTCACTCCTCATCTGGTGAGGGGGTCCCTGCTGTTGGAGGTGCGGGAGTGTCTCTGAGGTAATGCAAGGAAGAGATTGGTGAGCACTTTGGCCCATCATGTGTATCATCATGGAGAAATGATAATTGCCCGCTTTTTTCTTGATTAGAAGATTGATCGAAATAATGTTTTTGGCCGTTGTTTTTTTCGTGACTTATTTATTATTATTCATGACAATCAGATTTTAAGTTGTTTCCCTCGAAGCTGCTTCTGTTGTCATGTGTGTTTGTTGGGGATGAGTAGCTTGTTTGAGGTGTGAAGTTGACAGATGCTTCTGACACTGCAGAATGCTTGCACACAGTTGAGCTGTGAAGCGGTCACTCATAACCGCCTCTCATCACAACACAAACAAGTTTCTACTTCTTTGTGAGCTTTCCCTAGAGCCTTATCCTAATCCTAACTATCAAAACTAAATGTTCAACCTTTAGTCTCATTCTGTTGTAAACCCAGTTTTAACGTGATTCCGATTCATCAGCTGTGTGGTCTGTCCCACAGATCAGACAGAAGGCCCTGCCTTGCATGTTTTAAACTGTCAAAGTGTATGAGAGGACATTATATGAACTGAGGCTTACTCTGACCATAATCACTACTTTCCAAAGACCCTAACCCCTTATTTTTTTGTATTTAGGTTTAAATACAAACATGTAATATCGCCCCAAAACCCTGCTTGGACGCATCTTGCATGTGACATCACACAGAGCCAAAAGTAGGAAAAACTGTCTGAAACACTGATCACATCATTTAGTATTATTATAGGGTCTTTACCATACAACATAAAGCAACTTGAGGCAATTGCTGTGGTGATTTGGTGCTATGTAAATCAAATAGAATTGGATCAAATTGAATAATCGAAACTTGTCCCATGTTTAATATGAGCATCCACTAATGTAACCGTATATAAAAGACAGAAAATAAGCAAATGCATGGTAAGATCCACTTTAAATTCCATCTGTGCATTTGTGTCCTCTTTAAATCCTGCTTGTGCACGTGTGTGTGTTCAGGACCCGATTGTGATGTCGGTGTGCGATCGGAGCATTTTTGCCTCAGCGGTCTTTGCTGAGCTGGAAACTCTCATTGGTATTGGATTAAGAGGTTTTACGGATGAAGTTTCTCTCCTGTGCTCCGTTCATTATATGTGTGTGTGTGTATCTAGGTCTCCCATTCTATCCCTCCCTCTGTTGACAGTGTTAAATATGCGCTTGGGAGCATCATTCTAAATTCACCACGTAATTCTATTTAGCCCGCCGGTCCCCGATGACTTTAAATCCACAAACTCAGTCCCTTGTTCTCTCCCCCCACCACCACTCCTCCAACCCCTGTTTTGCTCCCTTTCTTCCTTCTCTTCTACATATACACAAATTAAGCATTTGCATCTTCCTTTTTTTTCTGTTCCATGTCTTCTGTCTCTTCAGATTTCCTGTTGCTTCAGCGGCTATTCACAGGCGTTCCTCCTCTTTTCATATGTCTCTTTCTCCTTTCATAGCCCTCCATTTTTACTGCCGAGTTTCTGTAAGCAATTTTCACCCATTCACGCTGTCTTTTTTTCCTCCTTTTCTCTTCTTCTTTTACCCCCCCTTTTCTTCTCTCTGCTCCGGCCGTCGAGGTGGTTAGTGTTTGTCAGCCTGTCTCTGGTGGCAGCAGCAGGAAGTGGGCTGAATAATGAGATTACCTTCGCTGTGGGGAGGGAGGCGGCACACCAAACATCATCACCCGTCACTCTCCCAGCGAACACACATGCGCGAGTGACACCCGAGAGCGTGCGCGCAAACCCCAGTCATCTACATTTTGGGATAAACATTTGCCACACGTATGCTCGTGCAAACAAACTCTATATATCCAGGCAAATGCGTGGGAATGGACGAAGCAGTGAGACGCATGCACGCGCGCACTCACAATCTTTAGTTTTGCTTTCGTGCGCACACAGACCCGCACTCCGAGCAGAGTGCACCAGAATGGAGGTGAATGTACTCATCACTCTCGCTGCCACCAGAGAGGCTCATTTTGTGGCGCTGAATAGAGACGAGGAACGGAGGCTATTACCAACGGAGAGCAGCAAAGAACAACAGATACAGAAAGAGAGGACAAAATGTCTCACGAGGAATCCTTCAACTCTTCCTCCCTTCTTCCTCGTTCCTGCTAAAATAATTGCTTAAGGGATTTTTAAATATTCTGCTGTTGTTTTCTTCTGATTAAAAAAAAAAAAGAAGCAGTCCTCTCAGCTCACACAAATCTTCCCTCGACTTGAATGGTAAAGAAGGGGAGGAGGGAGGTGGGGAGGGGATGCTGGTGGTAATACAGCCATCATTAGTCGAGGTGCTGAAATGCTTTTCCTGCTCAGGCAGCCGTCCTGCCTC